CCGACATACATACATCCAGACAGGTTGTTATTTTTACCCGCGCACGTACCGACATACATACATCCAGACATATTGTTATTTTTACCGTCACACATACCGACATACATACATCCAGACAGATTGTTATTTCTACCGGCACACATACCGACATACATACATCCAGACAGATTGTTATTTCTACCGGCACACATACCGACATACATACATCCAGACAGATTGTTATTTTTACCCGCACACATACCGACATGCATACACCCAGACAGATTGTTATTTTTACCGGCACACATACCGACATGCATACATCCAGACAGATTGTTATTTTTACCGGCACACATACCGACATACATACATCCAGACAGATCCGCATGTTTACCAGCACACACACCGACATACATACATCCAGACAGATCCGCATGTTTACCTGCACACATACCGACATACATACATTCAGAGAGATCCGCATGTTTACCTGCACACACACCGACATACATACATCCAGACAGATCCGCATGTTTACCAGCACACATACCGACACACACGAATCCAGACATATGAGTTCGAATAGACAGTGGTTACAAAATAATAAATATACATTCAGCATCATATCATATTTTATTGTATTAGGAATAATCGTATTTATGTTCAAATCACAATAATTATGTACACATGTCTTGTTACAATTCATTTATTAATGAAACCACGCACAACACGGAAATGAGGAACAGACTTTAACAAGGAAGCGGACACCCGAGAGATGCTGCGGTGAGAGAAAATAAAAGCGCAGATAGACTGACCATGTCTGCAGTCACTGGTGGAGGAAGAAGTATGTACAGGGCAAACAGGCTGAATGTGCTGCGTTCTAGAGACTTTGAGACGATGAAGTCAGAGACAGTTAACCACCTGTCGGAAATTGGTATTAAACGAGGACGAACATGAAGAAGCCGGTTGAGGGCTCATCATCATCATGTAGCAGATCCTTTGCAGAACGTCGCTCTCATCACTGTCTGCCTGAAAAAAATTTGATCTCTCGCCAGCTCTCCCGCCTCATGTACTTTCATACTCAAGGAGTCATTATATCCCATGCCCATCTTTTTGTTGGTCGACCCCTGCCCCTCCTTCCGGGTACCATGTCTTCCGCTATTATTTGAGCGGTAAAGAAAGAAAATATACAGATTAACTCCTACTGGGTACATTGACGAACAGAATCCGACAAACTTAACCAGAGTTTAAATTCGGGGTAGGGGTTATGTGATGCCGGGACCTGTTTTCTGGTTAGGTCGTTAACGTAGCAGCCGTGAATCGAACCCACGACCTTGAGCGTGCGAGGCAAACAGCTTGAATTCCTGGAGACCTCTGAATCTAGAAAGCTGAACTGGCCGATTGAATTAACAACAAACTGTGTGAACGTACAGAATAATTTTAAAAACTAAAGGGTGGATTCAGTATAAAAACCGGTATATGGAAACTGGTATATGAAAACTCGTATATCGATGTAATCAAATAAATTATCTAAATGTAGACAACGAAAAGATTTCCACAAACGTGCAAACACAATCACACACGTGCACACCCAACCACAAAAGTGCAACCCATAGACACATGCACACTTGCCGCCACGCGCGTACGCCCAAATACACACGCCCATACACGAGCATGGTATTCTTTTCCTCATGTACAGAGGCTAATACTCAAACTGGTAAGCAACCATGCCAACACCCAACACTTAAGTCTGCCACATGACAACCAAGGCACAAACAAACACAAACAGAACCACCGTGACACCACCATACAACAGATCCGGGAGTCACTCCCTACAAAGTTACAAAACAATAAATCAGCAGCGTAGCAAACCTTTACATTTGTGACAAGCAAAACGCAACTTTAGCTAAATAAGAAAATTCAAATACTTTAAAGTTATATAAATACTCTGTTATACTTTTCTGAATAAAAAAGTCTCCCTTTTATCGCTACGACATTTAGCCTGTATATAAAGAAAACCATTATATGTTGAGAATGCAGTTTTTGTTTACCGTTCTATTTTTAAGCCCCTTATTTAACCTATTCCTGTATGGCTAAAGAATAAAGTCATACGACTGCACTCAAAAACAGTTTATAACGGCAGTATTACGCTTAGGCAGTTGTATAGATTGTACGTTACTGTTCTTAGATATGACACGATCATGCAATATTTGTTAAGTTTTGGTATTTAAAAAAAAGAACGCGCTAATCTTCTGTTAAACGTCTGGAGCCAAGGTGCTTCGGTTGTTGTTCAGTTTGTTTGTACTGTTGTCATGCATTTAAAACTGGCTTTGAAAAATAAAATAGACAACAGGCAGTCAAAAATCGTCTTGCGTTGTTTTCCTTTTTCTTTCCACAGATCTTTCCAGTGAATACATTACCAACATATTTTATCAATAAATAAACGAACGAATGAATAAATAAATGAATGAATTCAGGATTGACACCACTACACCTAGGATATCCCCACAGGTGGGCAGGCCCTTTCCTTAGTCCCCATTGGTGATTTCCTCTGCTAATGGTGTCAGCAGCAGTTTAATTAAGAGTCCGTGTCTTTTGTCCTAGCGAGACTCAGTTGGTGAGCACATCACGGATTTTATGTACAGGACATTCGGATGTGTGGTGTAATGAGCATGAACATGCTGATTGATTGGATGCTGCGGCTCATCTGGGAGATGAGCTACTTTGTGACAAAGCGGACATTGTGAAGGCGCTCTAGGAAACGATGAACAGTGCAACAAAACAAACCAAGCATCCATACATTGACAGACTTATTCAGCGGGGTGGCGAATGAGTCGAGGCTGTGGAGGATATTCAACATTGCGGGGAAACAAAGGCGGACTTTTAATCAGGTTGCAACCGGTACTATGAGCATGACGATTCTTCGTTGGCTTCTGAGAAAGGAGACAGACCACGTGTGGGGATGTCCTGAGTGGAGGGATATTAATTCTTGATTCATTCATTCATTGTCTCAGCGAGTTCAGACTCTCTGCTCCACTACACCTAGGATATCCCCACAGGTGGGCAGGCCCTTTCCTTAGTCCCCATTGGTGATTTCCTCTGCTAATGGTGTCAGCAGCAGTTTAATTAAGAGTCCGTGTCTTTTGTCCTAGCGAGACTCAGTTGGTGAGCACATCACGGATTTTATGTACAGGACATTCGGATGTGTGGTGTAATGAGCATGAACATGCTGATTGATTGGATGCTGCGGCTCATCTGGGAGATGAGCTACTTTGTGACAAAGCGGACATTGTGAAGGCGCTCTATGAAACGATGAACAGTGCAACAAAACAAACCAAGCATCCATACATTGACAGACTTATTCAGCGGGGTGGCGAATGAGTCGAGGCTGTGGAGGATATTCAACATTGCGGGGAAACAAAGGCGGACTTTTAATCAGGTTGCAACCGGTACTATGAGCATGACGATTCTTCGTTGGCTTCTGAGAAAGGAGACAGACCACGTGTGGGGATGTCCTGAGTGGAGGGATATTAATTCTTGATTCATTCATTCATTGTCTCAGCGAGTTCAGACTCTCTGCTCATTCCTCGCTCATTCTGGTTACAATTTTCGGCTGCGCAGACTCCAGGAGTCTTCACAATGTCCACCTTATAAAAGTGCCTCGCCGCCCAGAAAAGCAGCAACACCCAATCTATCAGTCTGCTCATTTCTCCGCACACCTGCATATTTAGGCTGAAAATCCATGACAGCTGATTTAAGTCAGTATACTTTATCATTATTATCAATTTCCACTTATGCCGTTAACCGTCTTTGGGAAGAATAGATTGCCATGCGTTGTTAGATCGGCAGCAGTGGCTATTGCCATTCTGTGTCTAAGTAGAAGCTGTTCAATGTCATCAATCCGTATTCTCCTAGATCTTTCATGTGTAGCGCCTGCGTTGGGAGTTGTTCTGGCTGCATTCTTACTAGATGACCAAACCATTCGATCTCATGTTTAGTATACTCTATACAGCAGATAAATAAGATGTCAAACGAGCAGTGTACACGAGATCGTTTCTACAAAATATATGATGTTTTTCTTTAGGAATCTTCCAGTAAATCAACGAATGGTGAAAATATGGGCGTGACCGAATACTCTCCTTTTTGTTAAATTTGTGCAGTTCACTTCATGTTTGACAAAGGCTGCCATCCGAAAGGTTATTTTTGTTTGTTCTGTGCACATTTTTCTGCTTCTCCATTTCGTTAAACTTTTTAGTCACTTTTTACTGTAATTCCTAGTAAATCAACGCCGCGTAAAGAACAGTCTTTGGTATTCACGTATATAGTGTTAGAGTTAGTTGTGGCGCTTTCTGAAAACGTAATCACATCAGATTGTAGTTGCAGAGTTTTTACACACATTAATGAGTAGTTTGTTATATACATATATAAGATGAATGTCAGTAGAGATCCATTACCATCATCATGTAGCAGGTCCTTTGCAGAACGTTGCTCTCATCACGGTCTGCCTGAAAGAAACTCGGTCTCTCGCCAGCTCTCCAACCTCATGTACTTTCATACTCAAGGAGTCACTTATATTTGGGCCCATCTTCGTGTTGGTCGGCCCCTGCCCCTTCTTCCTGGTACCATGTCTTCTGCTATGATTTTTTCCAATCCGTAGTGGCGTTTGATATAACCAAAATATTTCAGCTTCCGAGACAGGATGTGTTTATTAGCCAATCTTCCTTGATGTTCGGATATTTCAGGATGTAATATTTCTCCCATTCTTTGTCATTTTTGGCTTCCATGATGTTTCTTGAGATAGTAATGTGGTAGTTTCCAGTAAGAATCCAGTTGGATGATGAAAGATAGTCAAGTCTGTGATGCTTCACAAGTATCGATTGTGTGATTACCTTAGGGAGTACTCGACATCCCAATGTCATATTCGAACAAAACCCGTTCTTTATATCACATATGTCAATAGTTTATTAACTTTTGCATGACAAACAACGTATATTATTAAATTATTTGTAATTTCATTATAGTTAACTGCTATAATCCATCTCACTTGATCTGTTATGGACCGACGTTTGTAAGCCAGATTGTTCTGTATGGCCAGACTCTGGAGGGCATCTATGAACTGCATAGAATGGTTCCATTTCTATCGGGCCGTTATTCGAAGCGTTTGGATTTAATGGTTTGGTTTTCGTAAGACTCTTATGTTGTGCGCTTGGTCTCCATGGAGCCCTGGGCGTCCACGTCGCGAGGTATTGCTTGTTCTTATCCTTAACCGTTTTGCTGTAGTCGTTGTTATTCACGTTGGAAGCTGGAGTTTGAATCGCCTTTTCTTGAAATTCAATGATGTCGCTTTGGAAAGGAGATTGGGATGATGATTCTGTCTGCGAAATAGACTCGATTTTGTTGGCCAGGGCAATTTGCTTGTATCGATACATATCATCATCTGTCGTCTGCGAAAAGTTGTCCATCGGCCGGACTGAGCGGTCCCAGGTCCGTCTTGGGGGGCCGGATCTGGCAGACGGATCTGAGGACCAGCGGTTGATACGGCCCCAAAGTATTTTATCTTTGGGCTCCACTTCGGGGTCTCCTGTTTGGATAAGTCTGTTGACTTTCACGATTGGGCCAAAGAACGCGGCTGGGTATCCATTCCTCATGTTTTTGTTTTTGTTCTTGTTTGAGGACATTTCTGCAACACAACAAAAATCTTAAAGTTCAACATTTCTGCAACACACAAAAAAAATCTGAAAGTTTAACATTTATGCAACACAATATAAATCTCAAAAGTTAACATCTATGCAACACAATAGAAATCTCAAACTTTAACATTACTTCAACACAACAGACATAACATAACATAGCATAACATAACGCTTGACCCATTAGGGTCGTGGAGGTGATTAGTGATTAGAATGGATCATCATCGCAGCACTCCGGACAGATCCATAGGTGCTTCGATTTCCCCCTCAAAAGCTCCACAAGGATAAAACGAGTGATGACGCCTGTTCTGTGTTGGTTAATGAAACGTTTTGTCCCCTTAGTGAAATGTTCATTTCTTGCCGTTCCAGACTGCACCCCCATGTTTGGGCCTAAGCAACAACATTGACGACCTCTGTCCTGACCATTTTATTTCTGGCATCGCTGTTACATCCATTCTGTATTCTGATAACTCAGGGGTAAGTTCTTCAGCTCTATAAGCAAGACGGACATAAACCAGATTGTGACCGGTACCATCAGTATTATAACTCTGCGCTGGCTGCTGAAGATGAGGACGGAGCACGCATGCGAATGCGCCAAGTGCTGTGATGTCAATTCTTGACTCAATTCAACTCAACTCAAACCAGCTCTTTGAAGGGTTCGTACATTCCATGTTCCAAATAACAAAAGTCTATTACCGTTCCAGCTTTCTTGTCATTTAAAATCCATCCGAAATCTAGGCCTAAGACATATGTTTCGAGACGATAGTCCTCACTGATTTGAGCAAATAGATGTGTTAACTAACATACTAGCAATAAATGTACAAACTAAAGATAGTATGTTGCACTAAAGTGACAAATTATTATTCCAAATCATTTATTATTTTTAAATCAATAACTTGAAACAGCAACGAGGGGATGTTTTGTTTTAGTTCATTGTACTGACTTTAAAAAAAAATAGAATACAATCACTCTTCAGGTTTGATTATGGCTTTTCGACTTGCAGATCGATTACTGCTTTTCAACACATTTTCGATTTCTGGTAATCGATAGAAGGACGATTGTTTGTGTTTTTCCTAGCAACATTTCCCCGGGAAATTGCTTTCACAGGAAACATTCAGCTGGACGGGAAATCTGAGACTGGTGCGGGAATTGTTGGCCGAAATTATATTTCTACTAATCGGTAGACACTTTGCCACATCACGTACATAATTTTACCGTTTTAGCACAGAGAATACATCGCTTCCGGGCACCATTATGTTCACTGATCATTTGCCAGATTGACGTGAAGAGAAAATTATTTTGCAGTCATACCTGAACGAAATCTCAGACAATTTAAAGTCGTGATTTTTGTAATCCTTTTGGGGAATTATGACTGGGGTTGTAGGAGGGTAAATTCAAGGTTACATTATGAAAACTGGGCTCATTCTTCTTTTCTTAGTGTTCAATAGGTTGTAAACTCTAGCGAAAAGTTCCGGTTGCTCATCCACCTCTGAACTTTAATCTTGTTACAGAACTGCACTTGTGTTTTACACATCTGTCTAATTTGTATACAGACTATTGATTCCTCGCCTCTCAGTCAGATGCACTCAGACTTCGAATGAGTTGAGTTGAGTTGAGTCAGATCCAGCCAATCTGCATGTTCATTACCTTTGGTAATTTCCTTTAGATTGCTCCTCGGTACGGTAAGTGCAGCGCATGGTATTGATAACATCACTTCTGTCCAGTACTGGACCAGCCATATCCACCGCAGTGTCAGCAAGATAGTCTGCATGCTCGTTCCATTGAACACCACGCCGGTATGGCCTGGAGAAAAAATCCAAAGTATGCTCACTACCCGTGACGTTATTAGTGAAGTTTGCCACGTGCTCGAAGCATCCCTGTCTTCATGTTTCTCAGCATGTTTTCAGAGTCTGTCACAATTATGACATGTGTATGCAACTTGTTCTCTAGCCACCGGGGAGCTGCAGTGACCGCCTCCACCTCCATTCTCATGCTAGATGTTGTGGTGTCATTTGCTAGACTGTCTTGCACTGAAGATTTTTAATTGGCTTTCGCTATGAACCCCCAGGCACTTCTCTTTCCTCTCAACAACGAACCATCTGTATGGATAATCAGATCATCTTGGCGTGAATTGTCGTGAATCAACTGTTGGACTTCAACCTCCATAGCATCCGCTAGCCACTCTCTGCAAATTCGGCCCATTGTAATCATAACCTTACACAGACTTTTCCGCTGGTAACCTGACCCACTTCTCTCCTCGCCCAATGTTATCCAGCATGCATTCTTTGAATGAAACACTCATATTTAGTCGTCTTTCACAGGAAGAATTCAAGAGGAGGGAAGAAAGAAGAGAAATGTCTGGGAGACCAGTAATGTCAACAGTTAAAAGACAAAGAAAACGGCGCTGTACTGAATACGTTCTGAGAAGCCAAATTTTTGTGTGTGTGAAAACAGGGGGGTGACTGCAGTCAAGCATGTTATAAAAAAATTAAACCAGAGAACTGGGACCAAAAAGCTTGACAAAATGTTGAATCTCTGACGGTAACACGATTGCGTGACCAAAAAGAAGCTTGGTGAAGAACGCCTATGCCGCCTTTAAGGTAAAGACCAAAGATACTTTAACCAACTTCTGATGGGAACAATCAGTAGAGGTACGATGGAGTGGCTGCAGCATAGGAATGCTCAGTGTGTAAAGACGTCGATTAGTGATGAGTGATTAGAAAGAATTATCATCACAGCACTCCGGACAAATCCATAGGTGCTCCGATCTCCTCCTCAAAAGCTACTCAAATGCAAAACAACTGATGACGCCTGTTCTGTGTTGGGTAATGAAACATCTTGTCCCCTTAGTGAAATGTTGATCTCTTGCAACTCCAGGCTGCACCCCCATGACCATTAGTCTAGACAGGGATACGGAGTCATGTCCTTTGGCGTGCTCCTCAGTACGGTAAGTGCAGCGCATGGTATTGATAACATCACTTCTGTTCAGTACTGGACCAGCCATATCAACCGCAGTGTCAGCAAGATAGTCTGCATGCTCGGTCCCTTCAACACCCGCATAACCTGACACAAAGATGAAGTTTAGGGCAGCTATTCGTGAAGTGCTTAGTAAAGACGTCGATTGTGATAACGTAACATAATATAACATAAACATCGAGAGACGAAAAGGCACCAACAACATACAAGCGTTAAGGCGATCTTGCAGTACCTGTTAAAGTGGTGTCTTTGTGTCGCCAGTCCGTTCTGTTCTTGCCGCGCTTGCTTCTCTTCAACCAGCAGTAGATGAGCAAGGCGACGAGTGCGATCAGAAGTAGGACCCCCAGAATCACAGCAAAGGCGATGGCAACTGCTCGGGTACTGAAACAGAATTCAGTCCCAATCGTTGAAGAACAGTCATGTCTTAAAAATAGAACATCAATAATCAATGCAATGCTAGCTCTGAAAACAATAAACTCGAACTGTTTAACATATCAGTTAGCGCCAACGATATGATGTGTGGTTATGCGATGATGGGTGTGTGATTTGTGATTGTATGTTTGATGTGTAGTGCGTGATGTATGGTGCGTGATGTGTGGTTTGTGCTGTGTTCTTTCCAGAGAATGGCAAGTAATATTATGTGTGGTGTGTGGTGTGAAATATGCGGCTTGTGGCGTGTGGTCTGTGATGTGTGGTCTGTGATGTGTAGAATGAGATATGCGGGTTGTGACGTGTAGTCTGTGATGTGTGGTCTGTGATGTGTGGTCTGTGGCGTGTGGTCTGTGGCGTGTGGTTAGTGGTCTGTGGCGTGTGGTCTGTGGCGTGTGGTCTGTGATGTGTGGTCTGTGATGTGTAGAATGAGATATGCGGGTTGTGACGTGTAGTCTGTGATGTGTGGTCTGTGATGTGTGGTCTGTGGCGTGTGGTCTGTGGCGTGTGGTTAGTGGTCTGTGGTCTGTGGCGTGTGGTCTGTGGCGTGTGGTCTGTGATGTGTGGTCTGTGATGTGTAGAATGAGATATGCGGGTTGTGATGTGTGGTCTGTGATGTGTGGTCTGTGGCGTGTGGTCTGTGGCGTGTGGTTAGTGGTGTGTGGTCTGTGGCGTGTGGTCTGTGGCGTGTGGTCTGTGATGTGTGGTCTCTCGTGTGTGGTCTGTGATGTGTGATGTGTGGTCTATGATGTGTGGTCTGTGATGTATGGTCTGTGATGTGTGGTCTGTGATGTGGGGTCTGTGATGTGTGGTCTATGATGTTTGGTCTGTGATGTATGGTGTCGTTGCTTGCTTGTGTTCACCAGCTGTAAACCCCGGCGAAAAGCCCTGGTTGTTCGTTCATTTCTGGATTCAAGCTTTTTTTCCAGGACATGAGCTTTGCGTGTGCATCCGTTAGACATATCTTGCTTATATGTATGCATACTGTTGGTTTCTTGCTCTCAGGCAGATGCATTCCGACATTGAATTAGGGCCCCAGTTAGTCGACTCCTACGACATGCTTGTTGGGCATGCAGTGGGTCTATTCTTGTTTTCTCCACAATGGGGCCCTGGAACCCATACTGGGAATGGTGTGTGATGTCAAGTGTGTATTATATGGTGTGTGATGTCAAGTGTGTATTATATGGTGTGTGATGTCAAGTGTGTATTATATGGTGTGTGATGTCAAGTGTGTATTATATGGTGTGTGATGTCAAGTGTGTATTATATGGTGTGTGATGTCAAGTGTGTATTATATGGTGTGTGATGTCAAGTGTGTATTATATGGTGTGTGATGTCAAGTGTGTATTATATGGTGTGTGATGTCAAGTGTGTATTATATGGTGTGTGATGTCAAGTGTGTATTATATGGTGTGTGATGTCAAGTGTGTATTATATGGTGTGTGATGTCAAGTGTGTATTATATGGTGTGTGATGTCAAGTGTGTATTATATGGTGTGTGATGTCAAGTGTGTATTATATGGTGTGTGATGTCAAGTGTGTATTATATGGTGTGTGATGTCAAGTGTGTATTATATGGTGTGTGATGTCAAGTGTGTATTATATGGTGTGTGATGTCAAGTGTGTATTATATGGTGTGTGATGTCAAGTGTGTATTATATGGTGTGTGATGTCAAGTGTGTATTATATGGTGTGTGATGTCAAGTGTGTATTATATGGTGTGTGATGTCAAGTGTGTATTATATGGTGTGTGATGTCAAGTGTGTATTATATGGTGTGTGATGTCAAGTGTGTATTATATGGTGTGTGATGTCAAGTGTGTATTATATGGTGTGTGATGTCAAGTGTGTATTTATATGGTGTGTGATGTCAAGTGTGTATTATATGGTGTGTGATGTCAAGTGTGTATTATATGGTGTGTGATGTCAAGTGTGTATTATATGGTGTGTGATGTCAAGTGTGTATTATATGGTGTGTGATTCGTGTAGTATAATGTACGGAGTGTGTTGTTTGATGTGTGATTTGTGCTCCTCCGCGAGAATCACAATCAACTGTTATGTGTTATATATGAGTATGATGTGTGGTGTTTCGTTTGTAGTGTGTTGTGTGTGGTGTGTGTGTTGTGTTGGGTATGTGACCTAATATAAGGTTGGTATATGTGTAGACGACGAACCAGCATCATGACACAAGAGTTGTAACCCAATAGTGCTCCGTTCTACCTCTGACTCAAGCATGAGTCCATAGAATATCAGCGCAATTCACGAACTCTGTAGCACCAGCGGGGAACCTACATTTTTTAAAGTAGATTTTCAACTCTAAATTCTGCCCGGGCAACGCCGTTATGCTACTCTTTTTCCATGTTCAATGCCAAGGACTTTTCCAATGCATCCGATCTTAGAGACCAGGGGAAATTACTATAATTTCACGTGAAAAATTCCAGTCTTCACCGTAAGTTGAACCCGGGACCTCCAGCACTCGATGGGGATGCCATACATCGAGACCATGCAGCCCCCACACATTCGATGTTATGTATGAAGTGTGTGGTATGGTGTGTGGTATGGTGTGTGGTATGGTGTGCGGTTTATGTTCCTCCCCGGGAAGCACAAGCAACATTGTTAGGTTATATGTAATGTGTCACGTGTGTGGTTTGTTCTTTGTGTGTTCTTTTCCAAGAATGACAATTAATCTGCATCCCGCCCTTTTGAGGACGAAATTTTTCGTTATTCGAAGCCCTACTCTGGCTCTTGCCAGGGGCCGCAATATAGCCTGCCCATAAATATGGCCAGAAGACTGAACGCGGTTTCTGGGACCTCTCCACGGTGATCCTCATCCACATGGTAGCACATTGTGTCATCGGGTGTTCATCGCTTGCGTGATGTCCTGGCGGGGTAGAATGTCAGTCAGTCAAGAATGACAACCACCGAGAAATATGTACTTTCATTCTCTTCATTTAGTCACAGGTTGCTTAAGAAATCTGGCGTCTCCTGTGAACATTCTACTGCATAATTAATTTCTGAGAAACAACTGTGTATAGTAGTTCTTTCCCCCTTATGTGTATGTTAGGAAAACTTCTAGAAACTTAATTAATAAGTAATTAGGATACGCTCTAGTTATTGACAGTTTTGTTTCTTTGTTGGGCGTGTCTTATTTTAATGTTTCTTTACAGTTCGCAAGATGTTGTTTCAAGAACATAAATGTTACAGATCCACTATATGAACCGGATTCAGTGTTGAACTAAGAACTGACATCGCAGCACGCGGGGCATTATCAGGAGCGCTTTGTCCTTATCTTCAGCAGCCAGCAAAGAGTGCCAATTTCAGTATTTGAATCGAGTTGTGGATAAATTCTAGCATGAGAAATGAGCTGAACACTCACTGATACCGGTGCTGAGGGTTAGTTTAACAGTCCAAAAACATGGAGAAACTGGCTCTAATTCCCCCACCCCTTTTTTCACAAAGAGTGCTGCAGGCTATGCTACATACATTCTCTTTCTCAGAATGAAAACGTAAATGCAAGACATCACAGAAACCAAACAACAGAGCGGGACACACCTTTAACCTTTATGAAAGTAGACCAGTACAACAAACTTGTTAATGAAAAGTAACCTTCTCTATTTGGGGAGACTAACGTCTAACTAACCCATGATCCATTAATTTTTATTTTTATTTTTGTTAAGGACGATCTGAGCTGTTTTCCTAGAGAGACAGGACTATGAATAATGATATCTAGAAGTATAATATCATATTCATAATATTTGTCCAGTAAAGCACGCAGATTTGGGATGGGCTGGGTTGCGATATTGGTTTGGTACTCAGGACTTACATACTTTGAACCTCTACATATGGCTAAATATATTCCAGTAACCGTCAGTGGCCCACTTGGGTAGTGAGAATGGAGGCTGAATCTTCTACGATAAGGGCGAACAACAAGAGGTATCTGATCCTATTTGCAAAGTGCAAAGGTTCCAAGGCGGTTAGAGATCGCAAAGAGCAGGTTACAAACAATATTCTTGCAAAATGAATAGGAAAGAGATTCAACCAACGAGTAAACAGCGCCATAATATTGAGGGGGGGGGGAGGCGATGAGGGTGGGAAATAAGTCTACAAATATCAGAGTCTGTGTAAAGAATTGGATGGACTGATAACTGATTTAACAATTGTCATTTGAAATAAAAAAAATATTCAATAAAAAAAGAAAAGACTTTTGGACAGACAAGCAGATAGCTGGTGAAAGATCGGACTGGTCTGAAATGCAGAGAGAGTGACGTTTAGAAGAGCTGCTGTGCCCTATACGCATATCTCTGGGCACACTCTATGTGGTATGTGTGTGTGTATATATATATATATATATATATATATATATATATATATATATCAATGTGGATGTGTGTATATATATGGATGTGTATATATATATATATATATATATATATATATATATATATATATATATATATATATATATATATATACGTTCAGAAAAGCTGCTGTGCCCTATACGCAAATCTCTGGACACACTCTATGTGGTGTGTGTGTGTGTGTATATATATACATATATATATATGTGTGTGTGTGTATGTGTGTATATATATGTGTGTGTGTATGTGTGTATTTTTTTTTTAACGTATCCAGAAGCCATGAGTTGTAAACCCTTTGGCTCGGTACTATGGATATCGCAACCCTTCGGCATTGATTCCATTATAGGTACCGTTAATCTGGGAGAAATGTGGCTTTTCTGCCTACCCCCGGGAGTGAACCCGGACCACAAGGAGTTCGTCACCCGGCCGCCGCGAAAGTCAGGTTTAACCAACTTCGCTAGAGAGCCGGGCTGTATGTGTGTATATACATGTGTGTGGATGTGTGTGTGTTTATGTGTGTGCGTGTGTGGATGTGTGTGTATGTGTGTGTATATATATGAGTATATATATATGTGTGTATGTGTGTGAATATATA